TAACAACAAGTAATTTTTAAGCAAAAAACAAAACCGATTTCCATTCTCGTATAAAAAAAAAATATATATATATATGTATATATTTCATGATCCAATCATCGGACCTAAACCAGATTTAGTATTGAACCATCTCTGAGACAGTACCTTTCCGATGCGAAAAGAATTATCGAAATCGTTTGCCGGGTCCAAAGTTATGCCGTGCATACATTAAAACAAAAAAATAAAAATAAAAATATTCCGACGAACTGATAATTTCCTCCTTTTTTGGAAGTCGGTTAAAAATACCAAACGATTTCCTAGTTTTATGTAACTATCATTTGAATGAATGTGACAAATATAGTATACGATAAAATTTTACTAAAGAAAATCCTTCATAAACTCAAAAATTAACAATAATCAATAAAAATAAAACAATTTAAGAACTTCGTGAACTAGTAACATTCTCCGAGACTTTAGAGAAAATCGTCGCGGTAGGTCCTAGCTTGCTCATACTGGCACTTCATTATATTAAAATTGAATGGCTTAAAAAACTGCAAACTCAACTTTTTTCTAGAGAGCGTAAATAAAAAGTGCAATATTTGAATGAATTTTGGTAGAATTTTCTTTAATTTTGCACAAGGTTTGGAGAACTGATTTTTGGGGTTTTTGTTGTAGAATTAACCATATTTTTATTAAAAATTGCCGAAAACTAAAATATTTAAAAAATATTTGCCCGTATTGTAAAAAATTGGCTGTACCTTAACTTTATTGACTGACTGTATGTATGAATTTTCCTACATTAAAATTGTCATGATTCTCTTTCTGCGGTTAACGCTATTTGAACTAACTCATACACCTACAAGTACTTTGTGTATGCCGCACACGCGCCCAAACGCTGGAGACACGTCCTAATGAGACTCAAACCAGAACTTAAGAAAAAAATTTTTTTTCACTGATAACCGATAGCCACACATACATGCATACATACATATGTATGTAGTGTGTATTCCATAGTCCAATCTATTATTACTCATATTATTTATGTATAAATAAGCAAACGCCGAAAAATTCGAATAAATGTACATACACACACACACACATAAATGTATGTATGTATGTAAATTTGTTATAATAAAGAAGGCAGCAAATCAATAAAATAATTTACAAAGGGCTGCGGGCTATGCAGTAGTCGAGACAGCGATGGCATTTTAATCAGTCGCCTGGCAGTGAATTAAAATTGAAATGCGTGTGTGAAGACCTTAGCGTACAATTGAAGCAGGCGCGTATTACATTTCAATGCAATATGTGGTAAAGTAAGAGTTAGCATAGGCACATTCTAACTCCCCACAAATCAAAAACGGCAATTTCTAGCAAACCCTGTAGGAAAGAGAGTTACTTGTGAAGAGCTGGGAGAGTGCACCAGTAGAACAAAATACTGTCCAATAATTAACTTAGAGAACAAATATTTACAGGAATTTAATCTGTTGATTCGGCAGGTCAAATTATTGACTTTTGTTCGATGGAACTGCACAGCAGCCACAATTGTAAAATTTCCCCTCTCTATACATTTTCGCCAGTTTAAAACGAGAGAATTGTCGCGTGTGTATAATAAATATTATATGTATAGTTGTGTGAAAAATAATAGGGACACGATAATTTCACCACTTTTGGCTTTTTTTTTTTTGTTTAATGTTTATTATTTTAATGTTTATATTTAAAAAAAAATACAGCTCATTATCTAACAAAAACCATATAAGCCTAATTTCAAACCCTGTAGAAAAAAAAATCAGCGAAATTTTACAACAAACTTTTTACTAAGAATTTAAAAATAAATTTTTAGTATGCAGTTCTATAGTTCATTAAGTGCAAGTTTCAAGTGGATAAGAAATTGCGTTGATTTTCGATAATTTTTTTTTTTACTGGCGGTTTAATGCATTTTCTTCCATACAAAGTATGTTAGACAATTTTGTTTTTGTATGGAAGAAAATAATAGCACCACCTGCAAAAAAATTATCAAAAGTCAACGTAAGCTCTTAACCACTTGAATCCTGCACTTTCTTAAGCTGGAATTTAATGGCTATAAAACTGCATACTTAAAATTTTTCCAAAAAATCTTAATAATTTTGTTTTTGTTGAATTTTTTCTAATTTTTCTATAAAGCTTGAAGTTTGGACTTATTGGTATTGGTTAAATAACGAGCTGTATTTTTATAAAAAAATAATAAACATTATCCAAACAAAAGAAGAACAGCCAAAACTGGTAAAAAATGTCGTGTCCCTATTATTTTTCACATGACTGTATATACTTTGACTACCTCTCGTGGGGAAATCTCAAATAGCTCTACTGACTTTCTACCACCAAAGTTAAGTCACACTACGATTCTTTATAAATTTTTCTTTCAGGGCAGGCAATGCCATTAAATACGTTAACTTTGCATATGCCCTGCCTGCCAATCATCAGTTGGAGTGGGTGAAGCAAGTGTATTTTCCATTATTAAATGACATTTTTTGTTTCGCAGCTGGTGTGATTGTTTTTGAAGCAACCACATGTTGAAGCCACATACGCACATGCCTTCATACACACATATTCGAGTTCATTCAGCATATGGCAGCATTTACATACTATTACATTTTATTGCTACAATTATTGGCACACTATCGCTATAAAGCACATACTTCAATCAATTGCATATGCATATGCAACAATGTACAATTATCACTTACAGCTTCCGCAACTTTGTATTCAAATTTTTACAAAAGAACATAAATACTTTCACACTTACACTAGGATGCCTCATCCAAAAAGTCAGTATTATCTAAATATGTTTGAACTATACAGTATGTATATGTATGTATGTAGATAGATAGATATAATGAGGTATTTACACTGCGGATTTGGGTCAAAACTCATCACAATACCTTAGTTTGGCCTAAAGTCCCAATAGAAACCATTCGTGTCAGGGGCGGCAGTGAGTGAATATGCGTAGCTAAAAATCGAAATGGCAGTGCGGTTTCTCCCAGAAAATTCATTTCCTATTTATGATATTCACCTGTATGTAGGTACCTGTTATATGCCTTAAACTTATATGTGGAAGAGTGATAAGGTTCCTAATTCTCTGAAGTTGTACATATGTAACTTTTAAGCAGCCGCTCTTCCACTACTAGCTTTTCCTTTATAACATGTGATGCTATAGTGAGAGAGGATACCGGTTGTTGCTGTTCCCCCAACAGTTTTGTTGTTGCTGAAGTGGCAGTCCTTGCCCAGAAATATGTACATCTGGGCAGTTCTGGTTACGAAGACCCGACTGTCGCGGGAATGAAGGTTTCTGATCCTACTGGCTGGGTAGCTGCTGCTTCCCTTTGCCAGTCTCTGAGCCAGTTCATTGCCATATTTGCCTTTATGGCGCGGAACTCAGGGTCTGGGATCGAGGCCAGTTTCCCACTAACATCAAAAAACAAAAGAAACTAAAAAGCCTTTTCTAATAGCGGTAGCTCCTCTGCAGGCAATGGCAAACCTCCAAGTGTAGTTCTGCTATGAAAAACAGCTTCTAATGCAAATACAATCGCCGTTCGGAGTCGGCGTAAAACTGTTGTTCTTAAAATTGGTTTGGTTTTAATTTACTGTAATTGTCCAGCAGTATATTGTTTTCGACACCTTTCAAAGATTAGCAAAAAATGTACGATCATACGCGAATTTGTAAAAAAAAAAATGTTTATACATACTCCTACAAATTTGCATATCGCCGGCTGAGTGGAAGATCGACCCATCTCGGGAGCCGGTTCGAAAACGCCCTATCTCAGAAAACTTTTCAAGAACGCCCTACTTCAGAATTTGATTGAAAAACACCCTACCATAGAATTCGGTTGAAGAAGCCCTATCTCATAATTCGGTTCAAAAACGCTCTATCTCAGCTGAAAATGTATTGAAAATGTGCTGAGATAAGGCGTTTTTGAATCGGCAGCTGAGATAGGCTATTTTTGAACTGAATTCTAAAATTGGGCGTTCTTCAATAAAAATCTGAGATAGGGCGTTCTTGAAAAATTTTCTGAGATAGAGCATTTTTGAACTGGCTGCCGCGATACATAGGTCGATCTTCTACTCAGCCGTCGCAAGACATAACGCACTGAGTCGCCTCAAAGTTAATTGAATAGGGAATTTTACAGAACACTTCTTCCTACAAGCGCTTGATGATAAATTTACATACATATGTATGTATGGAGATACAAATATCCAAATAAATTGATTCGTTTTCAGTTCGCGAGAACTATTAAAGGCAATTTAAGCTTCCTTTGGCGAATCTCATTGTGTCTTAGGTGCCTTTGTATATAAAGCTTTTAGCTGAAAAAACCCTATGTGCCTTGAATCTGAAATTTGCGGCTGCTTAATACAACCAAAATGAGCACAATGGCTTGGTATGTACATACATAGTACATACATATTGTATATATGAGTATGTAAATATTTCGCCATAATTTCTAGCGCTACATGCATACATATATAAACAGAAACATAATGGAAAAATAATATAAACAATCGTGATATAAACAAACTCAAAGGAGGTGAGTGTGAATTGATATTAACCGGGCCACCAACCTCAATACAATGAAGCAATGCAAGAACAAAACAAAAAGAGCAACTAAAATAAAAATAATAAAACAAGAAGTCATTATTTGCGCACAAATTAAATATACGGACATTCACACAAGAGTATAAATGGCGCCGCTAAACGCACATATTTATATGCACACATAGAAATCTTTCGAACTTGAAACGTAAACATGACATTGTATATTTCGGTGGATTATGATGCAGTAGCCGCCTAGCCAGCTGGAGGGAGGGAGGGAGGCAGGGCAGGCAGACGCTTCACTTAACACATTCGATATATGTCCTTATGTACAAGCATTCATACATACGTACATATATAGCTATCACTCAGTTAGTAGTAGTGCATTGGGTGCTTTTGATGGCATTCCATGGCATGCTTTAAATAACCAAAATATGTATAAATGAACGATACTTACAATAAGCTGGAATTGTGCAGCATTTGCACAATTTCGCCAATCTGGTGTAATTTCTCCGCCGGAATATTAAGCCAATGATTGAATGCCAAGGCCAGTTCTGAACGGAATTGTTTGCCTGGTATTTGTTGTATGTAAGCGAATGGCTGCAGCAGTATCTGCAACAAAGAATCAAGAAAAAGACTACACGTAAGCTTAGGCGATTATGGTTCACGCATACGCACAAATTTCGGATGAAAAATACCGAAAATTTGTGTGTTAAAGGTCAAAGGTATTGAATGAAAGTTGTATTATCACCTCATCTTGTTCTTTTTGCGTCGACGGATCACGCGTTTTTGCGAGTATTGTACACAATTCTTCCATGTTAGCGTTGCCTGGCATTCAGACGGGACTGTGGATATATTTAATTAATTCACAAACAAACGTACTTTGCTGGCGCTAGACACTTTATTTCCACACGACTGATCGACTTGTCTGCTTGGAGCAGATTGCACACGGAAAGGAAAGAAGCCGAAGCAATATACGGCGAGCAGCTGATTCTCTGACAGCCAATTGCTTGGATTCGTGATGTAAACAAACTCAGTTTAAGAAACACTGTATGAGGTTTGACACTTACATGAATGGAGTAGAGTTTCCGTTTCAAATAAAAACAAATTCCATGCAGTTGTTTTGTTTTTTTTTTTAGGTTTTTATTGTAGCGATGTGTGCGCAATAACATGTGGATGCAAAACAAAATTAAAGCGTAAAGGAACTGTTGTTTTGGCCAAAGAACGTAACATTACGTACATTTACGTTCTTTGAGCAATACAAAAAATTTCAAAAATCTCCTATTAAGTTTCCTCTAGTATGGCAGCACGCGCAAATGCAACGTGTCAAACGGTTTTGTTGTCAATTCTTGCTTTCCTGCCAATTTTTTTACCGAGTGTCGCAAAATTTCACTTGTTTTACTGGATTTGCACAAAAATTAATAGAATTTTAAACAATTCAATAGCAAGTTAGCATGGCTGCATCTCAACCAGTCCGGACAAATTGGCATCCCAGCAAAAAGCATAGCGATGTGGAACGGTACGCACTGTATAAAAGTTCATACCCAAGCACCTGACTAAAAAATGGGTTTTTCTCTTCCAGTTGGGTTTGCATATATCCGGCATACATCAATAGTAAAAAGACACGCCAGGAAGGACGACGCCTGCCTAAAGATGTATGCGTTGAGAATCCAACCTACGCTGAAATCCGTGATGTCTTATCAGTAACCAACTTGCGCGTTGGTGTGGAAAACAAGCAATATTCGCGCGAATGTAGCAGGGTAAAGAAGTGGAAATGCAAATCATAAGAAACGTCATCCATTTAATATTTTGATATGCTTTAATTTCTTTTTCTAGGAGCTACACCTACGTGGTCGCATACGCGTGCAAATGCGCAATGATGATGGAACACCCTGCAATCCGGAGCTAAACAGTCGTGAGGACATTATGCGTTATGTATCAACCAGAATACCACAATTGAAAACGCGTCAAGGCAACGCAGGTAATCAGCAGACACACGTGCAAGCGCAACAGTCCGCTGGTGGCAAGAAGGGAAAAGGCAAGAGGCGTTAAAACGTTCAAAACATTGGTAGTTTGTTTGAGGAGTACATATTAAATATTTAATACAATATACTGCAAAATACATATATCGCCCACGATCTTCAAAGGTGACACAGCTCAAAATTATAAGCTCGTCAGAAAATTCGAAAAACAATTTCTTAGCTCATGCTGATCATGTGGGTAAAAAGTCTCCTTTGCCTAAGGTTTTTTCAGCAAATTATAACAAAAATTTGCACCAGCTTTTGCTGAAAGGTAAATAAAAGCTCTGTACATTTGTAGTGCATAATTTCAAAAATGCTAAATTTTGAGTTGTGTCTCCTTTGAAGATCGTGTGCGATATACTGATTATCGGAACTCTGATACATATGCATTTATGTATGTATGTTTACAGATTTGCGATATTTTGTTTTGATTGTAATCTTTTAATGTATTTTTTTTTATCTATGGAAAGTAAGAATAAGCCATGTATTCGATGAATTAGACGAGATTTGGTTTATAAAGAAAGTGGAAGTTTGATTTTGTAACAGCACATTGTACCTACATAGCTAAAGATATAGCTTTTGGCCGAATATGCATTTGTAAAACTGCCGTTTTCCGGTATCGTAACACTATCTCCCACCAGGGTTTTATACTTTTACTAAAAAGTATGAAACAGTATTCTATGTCAGCTTGAACCGCTATGTTTAGTAATACTTTACATTTATTTTTCTCAAATGCCTTCAGAAACGTGCCAGTGCATTGCACATGCATAACAATATGTAAAATATGTACATACATACGTGTTTGTACATAATTGCATATTCTTGGGGTATACTTATCCAATTGAATAAGAGGTGCGGTAAAATTTTTTTCTCAGAAGTAACCTTGTATACATATAATAATTGGGTGGTACAAAAATAAAAAATAAAAACTGTTTATGTACATACATATCGTCGTTTAAATTACAAAACCGAGTATCAAGATAAGGCAAAACCGCGTATGTGAGGTCGCACTAATTTTACAGAAGAAAGTAAAAACCACAGTAAAAATTGTCTTATTTCAAAACGGCTCTCCCTTTTAATGAAATCTCATTTCAGGCTACTTTCACTATATTCAGTTTTGTACTTTAAACGATGACAATGGCCTCTGTGATTGAGTTATTAGAGGTGCATACTAGAACTCCGGAGAGCCTGAATATCATCACCGTCAGTAAAAGTGACGATAGGGCCATCGCCAGCCATGTTACTGATACGCTTACGTTCGTCGACGATGACGATATTCAGCATAGCGAGAGAGCTTGTATCGGGAGACTCGCACTACCATAGCCAAATTTCGCTCTGGATACTGGAGCACGCTAAGCTCGTACCTGAGCAGAATAAACGCAGATTTGCCCTACAAGTGCCCGGCATGCGGAGTCACGTCTTCGCATACCGCCAAAATTCCGCCCAACCAACGCCCCTGTTCCTGTGGACCAACCCAGTCGGAGTTGCGCAATACCTGGGACTCCCGTTAGTTGAACTTAACGACAATGATTGAGAAACGAACCGATTTAGGAAGGTCGACCACGCTTCTCTGATCGAAGATACATCCTTGCTTCCAATCAGCACGAAGCGCTTACTCCGTATCGGGGCGGCAGACAATCATCGGAGATAACACCTCCCAACATCGGATAATTAAACAAGGTGTTCCAAAATGTCGCGTACTGTCACCAATCCTGTTTAACTGTCTCTCCTCCGTCGCCCAAGAATAGCCTCATTCACCGATGATTTATTTCGGCAACAAGCGATCTTTCATGCATATTTTTGAGCACTCAACTCTCAGGCATCTCCCACGACGTCCACTGCAGCTTTATTCATAACATAATCAGAGTAAAAAAAGAACTCGGAGACCGACTTTTGACTAAAACTACAGCGTTTACCAACAAGCCACGAGGTAGGAACAAGGTTGTCATGTCGTTAGACGGTAGCACTTTGGGAAGAATAGATAGACATTAGTAGCCACATACAAAGCCTTCGACTGGTCTGTATAAACCACGGCGCTACCGTATGGACCACATAAACCTGTCAAAACGCCGCTGCCCGAACCGCCATTGGATGCATCCTTATGTCGCCTCAGGACCACCTTCTCTCAAAAGCGAAATGGCTCGAGGTAAAAAACAACGCGCGTCTGTAAAAGCCAACTTTTTGTTGGGCTCTCAGAAGCCACACACCCTCAACCATACGTAAACTAAAAGGCAGAATTCTCCCACCACCGTGTTAAAAGGCATCTCATTCAATTGGAAGGGAATACGTGTCCCAGAGCTTTTAATGAAATTGAAGAAATGTACTAAATAATGTACTAACTGATAGTTTCGTGTCATTCCCTTCGAGGTTTGCCATTTCCTAGTCAGGGGAAAATCACCCAGCCCGAAACATACCGAGGGGTAGTAAGCAGCTCTAACACCTCGGCCATGACTGAAACCTAAATACTTCATACTCACCAATCGTTTTGCTGGGCGATCGGTTCTTTCGCCAGTACAAAATCCATCCATGGAATCCAGCCAGTATCGCTACAGCAGGAGAGAATGTGTCTATTGCTAAATCTTATTATCATCGTAAGTAACAATCTTATGGTATCAAATATTCCAGAGGTGTGGAATAGGCCACGAGTAATCTTTATCTCGAAGGTTGGCAGCTGAGACTACTCATCGAAACAGAATTAGGCGAGAGGCTTTGTGCCCCTTCTATGGAGCAGATGATCTTCTGCAGTTACTTTTGGATAATGAAATCTGCCACCATGTCAATGTGGATGGCGTAGTCATAAAAGCTACATAAAGCGAATTTCGAAAGCACCCTCTGCGATATATGTAGTTCAAGTTCGGCAATACCAAGATGGATGCACATCATAATAGTGAAACTTATGGTAAAATATGGAGAATGGAATGGAATTGTGGGATTTCAACTTATGGTAAAATATGGAGCGGTGGTGGAAGAATGCGCACATGTCCGACTTTAGCGTTTTTTTCTAAAAATTACTAAAAATTATTTTTTGAGTTATTGGGTTGACTTGATTAATCTTTGGATGTTCTATGTTATACCAAAACCTAGAATACCATGCATACACGGAAACGACATATCGTCGTTTAAAGTACAAACCGCGTATCGTCATTCTGCAAAACCGTGTAACTTACATGTTTTGCCAAATATTGGATTTGCTCACACAAGCTCTTGGCTCAATCCTCATCCATTTGTATAAATGTAAAGTTGAAATGAAATGTAAATTGATGCCTCTGGTATACGGGCGACGGTTTTGTTTTTACTTAATAAAAAATTTTTCCTGATTGGCTTTTAATTTTCAGATTTTAATGTTTTAAAGTTAAAAAATAACATTTTTTTTTTTTAATTTAATTCAACTTCTAAAATTATTTTATTAATTTCTCCTTTTTTAATTAAATTTTTTTTTAAATTTTAGTTTTTATTTTTATTTTTTTAAAGATAAATTTATATCTTTTTATTTTCGTTCAATTATTAGAAACTAATTTTATATTTTTATAATTTTTCTAATTTAATTTTCTGTCAGTTTTTAAATTTTATTTCAGTTCTCAAGAAAAATCGCAAGAAATATTTTTCATTACTTCTGTTGCTTGACAATGTACTTTGCTGTTGCCGTAAACTTTCTTGAATAAATAAATATGCGAGCATTTTTTCTTGAGAGCTGCAGACGGATTTAAGACATTTTGATAGAAGAAAATTTCTTTTCCATTTCTTGTGCGCCATCTTTTATGAATTTTTTTTTCTTCAGAGCTGCAGACAACCTTTTAAAAAGAAATAACTCTTTAAATTTAGTTTAATTTTTAGGAACCTTATTTATATTTTAACCCCATTTTAATTTAATTTTTTTCTATTTTTAACTTAAATTTCATGTTTTATTGTTTAAAAAAGCAAAATATTTTTATTTTATTGTAATAAATCTTTAGAAAATTATTTCATTATAACTTTCTTCCTCTAATTAAATTTGTATATAGTATGTATTTTTCCGTTTTTTAATTAGATTTTCTTCCAATTTTTAGGTTTCATTGTTTTAAAAAGAAGAATATTTTATTTCATTTAGTTTTAACTCTAAGTTTATTTTTTCGTTTTTTAATTTACTTTATTTTTCCTATGCTAATTTAGTTTTCTTTTAATTTTTTGATTTTATAAATTTTAAAAGAAAACATTATCTTTTAAATTAAATTTTTAGGAAACTTATACATATATTTTTATTTTATTTAATATTTTCTGTTCTTACGTTAATTTTCTGTTAATTTTGAGATTTCATTGTTTAAAATAGGAAATTAAAAAGTTTTTTTTTTATATTTTTCTTTTTTAACTCATTATTTTTTTATTTTACTTTTCTTAAAAATTTTAGTTTTTATTGTTTTAAAAATAAAAAATATTTATTTTTTTTTTAAATCTTTAGGAAACTTATAGCTTAAAGACAACATAATACCACCAGGAATTTTTCGTTATTATATTTTTGAATTAGTTTGTCTAAAGACAGAAAAGAGCCTTCAAAATAGTCGCCAGTATTAAATATTGACTTACGACTTTTGTCTTTCGAATGAATGTGGTGAGTTGAAAAACAGTTGCCGGAATCGCCTTGTAAACCACTTACTTTGTTACCTTTAAGGAGAACAGTGTTAAAATCAAAATTAATAATACACCAGCATTCATATCAACTTGAGCTACTTTAGCATATCGCCAAAGCTATGTATTTAGTGACCACAACTGTTTGAAATTGCTAACGTCGGCAGATTCTCCGACACTTCAATGAGCCAAGCCAAAACAATATTCAAAGCAGAATACTCAATTCGGTACAAAATAGCATTGAGAAGACGGTGAGAAAATGAAAAACAAAATAAAAATAAAATAAAAAACAAATAATAATATTAAAATGAAAATTACGAAATGTACATATAAACATTGAGAACACATATCGCTCGAAATACATACTACTCGTAGCAGAAACATGCAATCGACCACAACACCAATTGTGAGTGCATTATAAAATCAATTAATCGCATTAAATCAGCATTGAGTTGACAAAAAACCGTCAAGCGCGTCGCCAGTAAAT